TATCCACAACACCGAATCGTTTTGATAACATTTAAAGGTCATCAAATGATGTTTACACAGAAGCACAGCAGGGGACTCACGTGGGCTCAGCAATATCATACAACACATAGTTGAAACTAAACTTCGATTTTCTCTTAGGTTTTCACAGCCGATGTCCCTTTCATCTGAAATGGACTTTGGAGACCTGGAAAGGGAACTCCCTTTCCAAGCCAGTTGGCTTGCGTTCCCAACACTGGAATCCAGGCCTCAGACCTCCAGAACTCTCTCCACTATGTCAGAATGCCTTCCTCCTGCCTGAAGAAATATTGTAGGGATCTGGAAGGCATAGCAACAGTTGAATTGGTTGCCTAGTCGAGGATAGATTTAAAAAATTTGCTTTATTTAAACAGTGTGTCTTCACTGAGCAGCTAATTTTAGAAAACAAGTGAACCATTAAAAAAATCAAGAGAATTCATCTCAGAAGAATACCAAGACATATCATATTGTGGTCCAAGTTACAGCACGTCTGGCAAGGTCATATGTGGTATTTCAAAATATACATTGTGTTATTATTCAGGTATGGTAAGGCTAACATAACAGGAGATGATTAGCATTAGAAAGACTGAAAGGGAAGGGTCATCAAGGAACATGTATGAAGGATCCATGGACAAAGCCAAACAGGGGAAGGATCGAGGGTGGGAAGTTGGGGTGGGTGGGGTGGGGGGAAGTGGTGGTGGGAAAATGGAGACAACTGTACTTGAACAACAATGAAAAAAAGATTGAAAAGAAGAGAAAAGATCATTTGTCCTACCCACAAATTCTCAGAGGAGGGGCGTTCCATGCCACAGAGGGGTCACACATGGGGAGGCACCAGGGTGGGTCAACAGGTAGAAGGAGAGGAGGAATTGGGGTGAGCACCTTTACTGTGGCTTCCATGGGAAGGAACAGATGAGGCAGGGAAATCAGGCCTAGGACTGGCCAGTCTGAATCAGTTCATGGGCTCTGGAACACAGGGGACCCCACTCCCCGCTCATTGTCTAGTGCCTGCCCCTGGGGGTGATGAAGGCAGGTGGGGAGCGGCCCAGAGTGTGAGGGCCAATAAAGGAGGAGGCTGGGGGTATGGGCTCTGCACTGGCTGGTTTGCACATGTGAGCACACTCTGGTGAGTTTTCTGTGTCTCAGAACTGAGTAAGCACAGGGAGAGCAGTCTCTTGCGAGTCGCGAAGATCCCAGACATCAAAGTACTAGAACAGAGAACAGAATGGATATGGCATTGATACTATAAATGGTCGAGAATGATGAGAAATGACATCCAGGGGAGAGAGAAACAGAATGGTCTACGCTGGCACCCATGATTTGTTCTCCCCTTACTCGACTCTGAAGAAGGACTAAGACTATTTTGCTTCTTGGCTCTGCCGCCCCCAACTCAATCATGAATAGCAGTTTGGAGAATAGCAGTTTGGATTGGCCTTCTCTGCCAAGTGGCACAGGGCTTTCTAACAGAGGACACCTTAAGATGTCAGTGCTCCTGAATTAGAGAAATTCTGAGTGTCCAGATTATCCTGGAAAGAAGCCCCATTGCCTGCATCCAATGCAGAGCGACTGCAGGGCATCTCGGGTGGCGTCCTCGCTGCTCGGAAGGCTGTGGGGGGTCAGTGCCGGAATTCTGTCTGTCGGGTGCAGGTCTTAAAGGACACAGTGCCTTTCTGAGTCTGGGCTAGAGACCCGTTTAAAATGGAAGTTAAATTCTATCCTTATATAGTTTGCTTTTGTTTTAGGTGTGGTTGTTAATAACTGTGAGTTTGCTTTCCTTTCACTGTTCGTGTTTTTTTTAACTTCTTTTTCTTAGGTAAGTCCCTTTAACATTTCATATAATAAGGGCTTGGTGATGATGAACTCCTTGAATTTGATCTTATCTGAGAATCACTTTATCTGTCCTACAGCTAGATCAGGAGTGGAAACATAGAAATGAAGATCTCAAGGAGGGTTAGCAACAGGGGAGTGGGAGGAGGAGAAGGGGGAAGAAGGTACAGAAAATAAGTAGCATAGACAGTAGATAGAAAATAGATGGGGGGCAAGAATAGTATGGGAAATATAAAATCTAAAGAACTTGAGACACATGGTCATAAACTAAAGGGGGGTAATGGTGGGGACGGGAGGGGTAGGGTGGAGGGGAATGAGGGGGGGAATAGAACAACTGTAACAGCATAATCAATAAAAAATAAATTTTAAAAAAAGAAAAAAAAATCTATCCTTATATAAGTCCGACTTAGGGTTACTAAAAGAGAACTTCAAGGTCCTAAATGCAAAGCATAAAACATAGTCTAAATTAGTGACATCATTTTCTGGCACAAGTTGTTTTAAAGATACATACCCCTCTTTGGCTGTGTATAATGTGCACCCACGTTTTCGGCACAGACTTTCAGAAAAAATATTTAAATTTAATTTTTAATGCTTATTTATTTATATTTAGATACTGGTTTTTGTATTACAAAGAAATATTAGCATTTATTTTTTAATGCTTTATGATACAAGAAATTTTATGTGACAAATAATTACAAAACACAAGAATAGATAAAAGGTATTTCAGGTACTACCCATATGTAATGTACATCCTTATTTTCCCTCAAAAAATTTGGCAAAAAGAGTGCATTATACACAGCAAAATACAGTAAGTTATGTTATTCTCTTTATTCAGAGATGTTTAAGAGCTATAGAAACTATATGTAAGATTTATATTTTACTTTTATGAGCAGATGACTGCTTTATAGGTGAGGATTTTGAGTTCTAGTAAGAATATTTACAGATAAACAACAAAATAGTATAATAAGGACAATTAGCTCGTAAAAATCACCGTGTTGATGGAGCCAACTTAGAGTGTCGGATTTCAGCACAACGTTTCTGACAAGGCAACGGCTTCCTTGCAGTGGCCCATCACCCCCCCCCCCCCCCCCCCCCCCGCTCAGAGTAGTAGGAGCGGAGGCTGGTGCATTTGGGTCTTACACAGCCCCCCACCCCAGGGCCCCGTCCTCAGGCTTGTCACTTGGACCCCTCCAATTCTCAGTGTCCTCCTTTGTAAAATGAGACTGTAAGACTGGATTGCTAAATAAAAAATTTTAAATTGTGGTACAATACACGTCACATAAAATGTACCATCTTAACCCTTTTTAAGGGTGCACTTGAGGGGCACCAAGTCCATTCCTATGGCTCTGCTCCCATCACCACTGCCCATCTCAGGACTCCTTCATCTTGTCCAAATCAACCTCTGCACCCAACAAACACACACTTTCCATTCCCTCTGCCTGTAGCCCCTGGCAACCACCACGCTGCTTTCTGTCTCTTACCCCAACTGCTCTGCTCTGCCTGTTGCCTACAGGCAGAATCACCCAGCCTGGGTCCTTTGGTGGCCAGTTCACTTCGCTCAGCAGAACGCTCATCCAGTTCTGCAGCATGTGTTTCTGATCACATTTGTTTATCTGTTCATCCACCGGGGGACGCTCGGGTTGCTTCCACGTTTTGCCTATTGTGAATGATGCTGCTATGACCATGGACATACAGATATCTCTTTGAACTCTTGTTTTCAATTTTTGAGGGTTCTATATACTTACGAGTAGAATTGCTGGCTTATATGGAAATTCTATTTGTAACTTTTCCAGGGATCATTGCGCCATGCTACTTTTCCAGGACTAGATATTTTTAAATGTCCCTTCCACATCTAATATGCTAGGAACCAATGCTTGTTTTTCAAGAATTTCTTGAAGTAATTTCCTCTTCACCTGGAAATGCGGATTACCAAGGGAAATGCTCACATTCCTTTCTCACAGGAGGCCTCGTCTGGCCTCTCTTTCTCTTATACTTGGGTTACACAGCACCCTTATTTATCGCGGTCAAATCCTAATCACTTTTTAAATTAAGTTTTTATTTTTTTTCAAGGACAACCAGCTTTGTGAAGGCAGAGCTCATTTCTCACTCTTCTTTATCTCCTCAATGCCTGACACAGAATAATGAAGCAGCGATGGTCTGTGGAGCAAATGTGTGGATGGATTCAAACAAAAATAGGGTCAAATAAGTCCAAATGACAAATTGAGGACGTAATTAAAAGAAGTAAAATCGGAGAATAATTTTTCTCTAAATGCAAAGCATTTCCCAGGAGAGGCTGGGACTCAAGTAATAGTAAGGATACGCATGGTCATTAAAATGCCTAAAGCAGCGCTGCCCCAAGCATCAGCTTGGAGAGGATCTTTCTCACTTGGGCCCTGGGGTCCCTGGCTTAACATTCTTACGCCTGTACGCTGGCGCGCTCCGAGGACACACTGTTTGGGTCGGTGCCCATCAACACGGCAGAGCCTAGAAGGGTCTCTCTCCGTTATGCAATACAGAAATCTCCTCTTTGGTGCTTTTGGAAAGCACCTTAGCATCCAGCTCCCCTGGGTGGTGTAGCAGAGGTTCAGAGAAGGGAAGAGGTTGTTTCCAAGTCAGATGGCCAGAGGGCTGCCTCCAGTGTTGGAGAGGCAGACACATGCTTTTCTCTCACAGTTAGGAGCTATTTTTAAACTGCCTTGCCTAGTGGTGGAGGGCAGACCTGTCCGTGGGCACTGTGGGAAGACCGAGGACCGGACGTCTCTCCTTTAGAGGGCCAGAGTTTCAGCTGCTTCTGTTGCAGGCTAAAGAAAAAGCCCTGGACTGTGCGCGAGCAGGTGATGTTTCTGGACCCAGACAACAGGATTGTAACCCCCGCCCCCGGAGGAGAAGCCCTTTTGCCGGTCCGTTTTTGCACCTCTGCAAATGCTCCCTTTGGGCAATTTTGCGCCAAAGCAGTAGGAAGTGTGTCTAGAGATCACCAGCAGGGGAAGCTGTGGTCCCTGTGTCGCCTGGAAAGTGAGCAAGTGAGGACCGGACTCGGCGCTAGGACTGCGGGGGCGGGGCCGAGGTCGTACCTGCTTGCTAGGCAGGGTGGGTTGGGAGGGGCAGGGGCGGTGCACGGGTCTCTGCTGGGACGTCCCACCGCCAGGGAGCAGTCGGGCTCCTGGGCCCCTCGAGGCGCACGGCGGCCGCAGTGCCCTGGGTGTCAGGTGAGCTGGGATGGGGAGCGGGACCCCGCGGGTTGAGGGGAGTGGGGCGCGGTGGGGGGGACCTGCCCTGATGCGGGTGTGAGGACATGGGTGCTGCGAGCCTGGGGGGAGCAGAGCCCCTGGGAACGTCCCTACTGCAGGGCAGGGGACCAGAACAGGGGTCCCCAACTTCTCTTGGAGGCAGCAGGAGCAGTGCACATCCTGGCAGGGGGTGGAGCGGGTGAGCGGGTGTGGGGAAAAGAAAGGCCTTGGATGGCGAGAGATTTGTCTCACTGGGACCTGAAGAAGTTTCAGGCTGTCATCTCATCTCGTGCCATTTTCCACGACGGAGCGTGAGGTCTTTGGGGGGACTCTGGGGACAAACAGAGTTCATCTGTCATCCTGATTGATTCTGCCCTGCGGGTGCGTTCTGAGCTCATTCTGCCTGGTTCTGAGTTTTACTGGGATCAAAGCTCAGAGACACTGGCCCACAGCACCCCGCCCCCGCCCCCGCCCCCACCGCGCAACAAGCAAACCGAGAAAACCTTTCTTGTGCCTTGTCTTGTTTCATTTATACAGATGAAGCGAACTAGGTTAGGATCGTCTCTAAACCTCCAAAGTGCATGCCACATTTTTGTGTGTCTGCATGCATTTTTCAAGAGTTTCCATAGATTTTATTTGAATCTCTCAAAGATCGAATAGCTAAAGTCATAGCTTCAAGCCCCACCAACCTGGAAAACTTTAGGGGGTTCTTCAGTCTTGGGGTGCCTGGGTTGCAGATTCCTATTTGAAAGCTGGGATTCAGGGAGGACTGGAGGGGAGGGGTTCTGTCAGGGTTCATGCAGGACAACCTTCAGGCACCTTCACAGATTTGTCTGGCGTAAGAACTGGTCATTAGGAAATCAAGTTAGTATACAAATATGTAGACGAGGAAACCAAGATGTATCTTTGTGAATGAAAGGCCTTCTCATGCTTCTTCTTGGTACTCAAATGGGACCCCGGCAGTGGAGTTCCCAGGAGCTCTGAGGGAAGGTCTGAGAGGTGCGATGTTCCAAGTTTATAGGTCCCTGGTCCCCTGGCAGCAGCTTGGGCGTAGGAGGAGAGAATGGAGGTACTCAGCCTCGGTGGGCACTGGCAAAACCCGGGTGTGGATTGGGGGTAGGGGCGGGGGAAGCTTCAGGGGGAGGGCGTTTCTAGTTAAGGACTTGACTACCAAGCTAACAGGTACCCTTGAAAGATCACAGTTCGTCATTAATCCCACTTCACTCATTCCCACCAAAGGGGCAGGAATGCTCTGTAGATGGAAGTCAGTGAGTGCTGCTACCTCTTGAATATTTGTTCGCTTTCCTGGTCCTGCCTCTACATCCACAGAAGTCTGGAATCCCAGGGTCAGGGTCATGGGCAAGCGGGCCTTAGGATGAGGATCCTCAAGCTGCGTGTTCCCAAACCCTGGATATCCTACAGGGAGCCTCCAACAATCACAATCTCTTCCCAACCTCGGGGTAAAAAATACAGGGTAAAATAACACCATTTCCCCCCCTCTATAAAATTTCCCCAAATCCGTGGTGCTTGCTTTTGTGTGGCATTTTGTGTAGTTTGAAGTTGAGTGTCTGGTTACAGCCATGCGTGAGAGAGCACTATTCGTAGTTTGTCAAGAGTCCAGTCAGTTCCGGTGGTCTGAGACCCACGACTGTCACAGAACTGGGATCACACCGCATTCCTCTTTAATGTCCCGGGAATGGAAGGGAATGTAAATGAGTCCTTTGTGGACGCCTGCTCGCTGGGTGGTGGCAGTGACTCGTGCCAGGCCTGGGGCTGTCGAGGAAAGAAACGGCCTCATTGTACTTGGCTCGCAGCCCAGAACACTTTCTGTCTGTTCTTCTTAACTTGGTGCGTATTTTGTAAACTCAAACCTTTCTTTCGTTGGGATTTATGGGGCTCAGGTTAAATTTCTTAGCCCCTCCTCCCTGCCAATTGGTCGGTCAGTTTTATGAAATCCCAAACTGAACTGTTGTTTTTCGAATAACAGAGCAGTTGTTTTCACCTACAACTTGTCTTTTCCAGATAGGATTAGTGTTTAGAATGGCCCCATAACACAGCAGGGGTTCATTTGGCAATGGCAGAAATTAATTTTGCTCCTTACTTTAAAGGTCATTAAAAAACTAAACTTTTTTTTTTTTGAGAAATAGTTGCTGGTTCACTAGCCCTTCAGCACAAGATACATGTTGCTATGGCTCCTCATTATTCTTTTGGGTATTCAGCACCTAGTATGTACTGTGATGTGCCCTTGGGTTCAAGGTGACTTCACCTTTCTGCTATCAAGAGGTTGACAGATAAGTGCCAGGCACTCGAGAGCCGGTTTCCCTTGGCCTTGGCTCAGGGGAGAGCTATTCCCTGTGGTTTCCAGGGCTCTGTAGTAGCATCGCTGCTCCGTGCCAGTGAACTTGACCAGGAGAGAAACATTCACTTTTGGTGGGTAACCCCTGCCCCCAGGGAGGACTGGCCTCTCCTGTGAGGATCCTTACTGCTGCCCAGTGGCAAGTTACACATCCTGGGCTATATTGGTTTTCCCAATTCATTCAGAAAAAAAAAGTAATATATGTTCGAATGCTTTCTGAGCTGCACCCTAAGCCAGAGCTGGAAGAGCATCTTCAACACCACACAACAGCGAAGGAGTCTACTAATTTGAGATTTGTTAGGTCGGGCCAGTCTGATGTATACTTCTGTACAACACTGAGGAGAAGCTTGAGAATGTCGATTTGAGCACCAGGTAGTCGTGGCAACGGCACTGGCTATGTGCCAGGCACCCTTCAAAACACCATGGACGTTAACTCATTTGAGTCTTCTCTTTACCCAAGGAGGTAGGTACCACTATTCAGAATACGACATTTTAGCCCTGGATCATACAGTTTAAAGGTTTGATTCACTGAGCTCTTCTGGGATGAGGTCTACTTCATCTTTACTATGTGCTTTACTTTAGAAGGGCTTTACTTTCTGATCACTTCTCTTCCTCGTGCCTTCTCACTGCCAGAGGCTGCCCAGCGCTGCAGACAGACTGCCCGGTTCTCTCTCTTGCTTCACCACTAACTAGCAATGTGACCTTGAGCCAGTCATTGCCTTCGCTGTGCCTAAGTTTCCTTGTCTGTAAAACGGGGATGATCAGGGTATTCCCTCACCAGGTTGCTGTGAGGATTAAGTGAATTTACATATTAAGACACTTAAGGACTGCTTTGTGCACAGGACACATGGTTGTTTTTATTATTAGCTATTTCTTTCCAGCCTCATCGGCCAATGCCCCCTCCCGGAGCAGCCATGCTGGCTGCTACAACTCCCCCGGACCTCCTCAACTCTCATATTTCAGTGATTTTGCACATGCAAGTTCCTTCACTAGGGTGACTTTTCCATCCCGTTGCTCGCTTCAGCTTACATGTCCCTTCCTAGGGCATCTTCCTTTAGTGCCCTCTGTTATTCTCCAGGTAGCTTGTTCCCTCCCTCCTTTGCGATCTCAGTAGCCTTGTACCATTCATCTATTAGAGGACTTAGTGATTAACGACTACATAACATTTGTTGAGCACTTACTATGTGCCCAGTAGTGTCCAAGTATTTTTCTTTACATACATATATATATATATATATATATATATAGAGAGAGAGAGAGAGAGAGAGAGAGAGAGTGTTCCATGAGGTAGGGTTTTATTGTGTTGCAGTTATTTCCACATCTATCCCCTGCCCCATTAGACTGTGATAGTGACTTGTCCATCTGTGTGCGCTGTTCATTTTGTACCTCTAGGACCTGGCAGAGTGCCCAGTGAATGAATACACAGTGGGTCCTCCATAAATGTGTCAGTGGGTGCATTTTACCAACAGCTACTTACATTAAAATAATAAGCTAATTGTAAGTAATTTTTCTTTTATATAACCTTCATGCTTTCCTCATTGCAGAAATTCACTCTCAATATTTTAGAAAGATGCAATAAGCAAGAAGAAGGAAATCCAAATCCATGGCCCTGGAGAATCTAAACAACTTGCTTAGGGATACACACCCGCTCAGCAGCCACACTGAGGATCAAGGTCAGGCTAGCGGGGGATACTGCTGCCCCTCCCCCCGTCTCCAGTCCCACTACCAACACACATATGAACAAATCGGAAGAGCTGAGACTTGAAATGAAATCTACCATACGTATAATGGTGCCATGCATGAAATCTACATTAAAAAAATTCCCACTATTCAGTCCTTTTGTGCCTTTGCACTTCCTGTTCAGTCAGTTTTTGTTTTAGGATAATCCAGATGAAGAGGTGGCACAGTGAGGTGAGGGGGAAGGGGCATAATTTCTAACTCAGACAAGCGCGGGTTGGAGTCCTGGCCACGCCACTGGAGGTGTTATCAGGGACAGGTCGCCTAACCTCCCTCCATCTCTTAGTCTTCAGTGAAAGGGGAACGATAAGAAATACTTCTCAGTGTTTTCTCAAGTAGAGGGCAAGCGCCTTGCACTTGACTCATGGTGAGTCTTGTTAAATCTCTCATAGCAATACCCTAGGACTTGCCCAAAAAGCGACCTTGTCAAATGGTTTTCTGCAGCTGCACATGGGGATGTTCCTCCCACTCCTTCATTTCAATTCTCACGGTAACTTAACTTTTGTATTATTATCATTTGATGTCTTTAATAACTTGCCTCACAGCCGTTTTCTCAGAAATTCTGGTTCACAGGCCCGGGCTCAATCCATTGAGCTACACCAGCCAGGGCCTCAGAAATTCAATCTCTTCTCTGTAGGACCCGTTTGGAGATGAAAGAGAAAAAAAATAGCAATTTTCCTTTAAAAGTGGATTATTGTTCTCCTTACGCTATCGTTAATGTTTTCTGTTTTCTTTTATCAGCGAGTTACTTCTCAGTCGATTCACATCGCCAAACCAGACTCTGGATTTCTTGCAAGATGAAAGGAGACAACCATGAATGAGCCATTAGACAATTTTGCAAATGTGTCTGATTTCCCCGATCATGGTGCTGCTTTCGGAAATTGCACTGATGAGAAAATCCCCCTCAAGAGGCACTACCTGTCTGCTATTTACAGCCTCGTCTTCCTGGTGGGCTTCCCAGGGAACTCGGTGGCCATTTACACGTACATTTTCAAAATGCGGCCCTGGAAGAGCAGCACCGTCATCATGCTGAACCTCGCCAGCACAGATCTGCTCTATCTCTCCAGCTTCCCTTTCCTCATTCACTACTACGCCAGCGGCGAAGACTGGATCTTCGGCCCGTTCATGTGCAAGTTTGTCCGCTTCGGTTTCTATTTCAACCTGTACAGCAGCATCCTCTTCCTGACCTGCTTCAGTGTCTTCCGTTACTTTGTGATCAGTCACCCAATGAGCTGTTTTTGCGTGCACAAACCTCGATGGGCCGTGGTGGCCTGTGCTGCGGTGTGGGTTATTTCCCTGGTGGCGGTCATTCCCATGATCTTCCTGATCACATCAACCAGCAGGAGCAATAGCTCTGCCTGCCTGGACCTCACCAGTTCGGATGACCTCACTACTATCAAATGGTACAACCTCATTTTGACCACAACTACTTTCTGCCTTCCCCTGGTGATCGTGACTCTTTGCTATACAATGATTATCTGTGCCCTGACTCGTGGCCCTCACACTCACAGTGGCCTTAAGCAGAAAGCCCGGAGGCTGACCATTCTGCTACTTGTTGTGTTTTATGTATGTTTCTTACCCTTCCACATCTTGAGGGTCCTCCGGATTGAATCTCGCCTGCTTTCTATCAGCTGCTCCGTTGAGAATCAGATCCACGAAGCTTACATCTTTTCAAAGCCGCTGGCCGCCCTGAACACCTGTGGCAACCTGTTCCTGTACGTGGTGGTCAGTGACAGCTTTCAGCAAGCCATCTGCTCCATGGTGAGATGCAAAGCGAGTAGGGACCAAGAACAGGCGAAGAAAATCGGTGACTTAAACAACCCTTGACCACAGAGAAAGGCCTGCCGATACTTTCCCCTAATTTCTAAGAAGTGCAGACTATCTCCCTCAATGGAACTCTCAGGAAATAGTGTGTTTTCAGGTAACTGTGTGTCAAAGCCTGGGCAGAACTGCCAAGAGTCCTTTGCATCCCATTTACCGAGATCCTCTCTTGGGTAGATACACGAGTAGGATACATGCATATCAGACAAGGATTAAAATGTAAAATGGGAACTGTTGGCACTCCGGGCCGTGTCGGGGAACACCCCCCACGGTATCTCAGTGAGTGAGCACCAAGGCAGGAGAAAGCCACTTTTTCACTCCTGGTTTCATACTCCTTCCTGCTGAGGCATATTTGTATTGAATTCCCTGGCTACTCCAGGCATTATTTGTATCTTTTTCAATATTCTTTCTTATTTTTACATTTTGTATTTTTAAACCTCTTTTGCCAACTTCAATCTGAGGTTATTAAACTATATTTTTTGGTAGGCTTCAGCTAATTTGGTAGATTAAAGCAAGTCAGTACCACACACTTGGGATAATTCGAAGATGTCAATGCAAAAAGCTAAAACGAATACCTGGAAGACATTTGGGGTATTATATCTTTAGTGTTATAGATCATTCTCCAAGTTGTAACTCAATTTATAAAAATTATCAAGTGGTATTTGTTACTATCAACATGACCTGGGGAAGAAGGGGGCACTTTTGGGCAATAGAGGTACTTTTAAATATGTGTATATTGGGTATTCAATAAAGTCTAACATGTATTTGATTTCTCTCTGTCAGAAAATATTCCAGGAAACACTGCTTCTCTTTACATACCTTTCTTTTGTGTGACTATCATGAAAATATGACTTGGATTACAATAGCAAAAGCTATTTTTGAATTGTGTGTGTGCTTAATTATCGCTAAGTATAAATATCTGAGAAAATGCCTAATCTGAACATTTAAAACCCTAGCAAATGTGTTGATATAATTAATAAACTAATTGTAAAATCATTGAGGAGGCTGGTAATATTTTTCTGAAAAAATGCAGCTTTGCCATAATTATATTTACATGAAGCTTTTCTTCTCCGTGCTTAGAGAACAAAGACAATTCTAAGCATCATTTGCAGAACAGAGCCAGAGTAGAGGAGTGGGACAGAAGACAGATTATCACAGGAACCCTGGGATTTTCAGGTTCTTCCCGGACAGTTACGTCTGACTTAGACCTAATGAAGGACATTCTTCAGGATCCTTGGTCAGGGGTGCCGGGGAGGAAAGAGGACATCTGATGGTTCTATAGGTGAACTCTTCTCAATGACGATGTTCTCTCCACCCATCCCTTTCTGCACCCTCTGGGCCTTCCCATAGCACATGGAGGGAACTACTTCACTAGAGAGCCAGACATGCCCATCCGTGGGGCTGCACTGCATGGAGTAGCACTCAAGGGTCCACTTGGACCAGAAAGCTGGGTGACTCCCCACTCTCCTCTCCCCAACACCCTGCCCAGCTCCTGGGCCATCCCCAAAGTGTTGTCACCTGAGCCTTCATATTGCTTCTGTCCTGGTTCTAGCCCAGGGTGTCACCCCCTTCTTCTCTCTCTCTCTTCTTATTCCAAAGATTTCACCCACCCAAGAAAAATCACCTCGGTCTCTTTCATGTCTGTCTCAACTTGTCTCTGCAGCTTCTTTTATCCATTTCCTTCTTTCCACCAATTTGCTAAAATAATAAATCATTTCTCTTTCTGATAGTAACTCTTCCACTTGGTCCTTGGTCCTTGGTCCTTGTTCTGCTTGCTTAGGGACCTCCCCTGACACTCACTCCCATTTTCTTGACATTTTGAACATTTCCATTACCCTGGATAACTGCCTTAGCTTGGAAACATGTACAATTTTCCCTTATCCTCAAAATACCTTCCCTCTATTCAGCTGTCCTGTCATGTTTTCTTATCTGGCTTGTTCCCTGCAGTTATGGGTCAGGTTCAGGTGATGGTATGCCCTTGGGGGTTCTGCTGATAGAATATAATCACACACATCCAAGCTAAATTGGATTCAAAGGGTAAGTTTTATTTTTCAAAGTAAAGAGTTCAGGGATAATTGTACTGGAGGATGCAGTTTGGAACTGAGGCCAAAAAAGAGATTGATGATACTTCCAAGGCTAGAATGGGGCCCACATGACCTTGCCTCATACACCCAGCTGTAGGCAGACCAAGTATAAGAACAAAAGGCAGAGCTCTGACTGTCTGCCAGAGAGGAAGTGGCCTGTGTCGTCTGCTCTCTGCATAAGGACTGAAGCTCAAGTTCAAGCTCACTGCATCTGAGTGCCGAGAATCCAGAAAAGCACATTCTAAACTTTGGAGACACAGTAGCCCCTTTGCTTCGTTTTTAACTTAGTACCGTGGAAATTTTCAAAGAGTCACAAAATTAGAGCAGCAAAATGACCTCACATATCTGTGCCTTCACTCACCAGTAACCAACACTGCAGCTTTGTGCTTCATCTATCCCTTCCCACCTTTTCCCCTTTAAAATATTTAAAACCAAACCTTAGAAAATATAGTGGCTTCACCTATAAATGCCTCAGCATTGATCTCTTTCAAAGCAAAAGCAAAACCAAAGCAAAATAAATTCTTAATATTATTTAATATTTAATCTATATTTCTATTTCCCTGGTCACCTCAAAAAGTTCCCTCTCTTTACAGTTGTTTTTTTCAAATCAAGATCCAAATAAAGCCTGTACATTCTATGTCTATTAAGTTGCTTGTAATCTATTAGAGTTCTGCCTCCCTGTACTTACCGCCATGTTTTTAGTGGAGGAATCAAGTTGTGTGTCTTGGGGAATTTTCCACATTGTGGGTTTGGCTGTTTGAATGCCATTTTGCTGTTCAGTGTGACCCTCTGTGCCCTTATTTGCTGTCAGTTGGAAGGTAGAGTTAGAAGTTAGATTAGATGCAGATTCCTTCCTTCCTTCCTTCCTTCCTTCCTTCCTTCCTTCCTTCCTTCCTTCCTTCCCTTCCCTTCCCTTCCCTTCCCTTCCCTTCCCTTCCCTTCCCTTCCCTTCCCTTCTTCCTTCCTTCCCTCCCTCCCTTCCTCCTACCTTTTCTCTTTTATTTTTCAGAAGCTCCAAACCACCCAAGGAGGTGTGTCATGTCTGATTACCCTCCATTTAGTGGTCGAGCAGGGGGTTCAGGATGCATCAGCCTGACCCTCCTATCAGAGCAGGTGGTTCAGCATGCATCAGCCCAATCCTCCTGTCAGAGGGTTCTCCCACCTCCTTTGCCTCCTGGTTTATCAGTCAGGTTTACTGTTGTCTCCGTCTGCTAGGGCTCTCACCATGGTGACTTGGACATTCTAACACTCTTCTGCTTTTGTTACTTATGGCTCTTCTGTGCAGATCTCTGACTCATCGACTGGCATTCCCCCTTCCACTCTGAAGGCGGCTCCCACTGATCGGAAGGCGTAGGGGAGGGATGGGCAAGACCTGGGAGCTGCCTCTCCACTGCTTCCTCCAGGGGGCTGTGTTAACAAAATTGCCTTTCCACATGGGTCAAATTTTTGTTCTTGAACGCTTCGGGATTAACAGCCAAGCCTATGTATGAGCCATGGGATTGGACCCAGGCCCCTGGGAAAGAGGCCACCCACAGAGCTTGCCTGACAGCTGTTAGCCTCCTTCAAGCCCACCTCAGGGTCTGGGTGTGTCCTCCTGGACCAGTGGGGGCCACCTGGCTTCGCCCCCAGAGCCTCTGAGAAAGGGTAGGGCAAGATGTGAATAACTACACGGCCAAGCAGCACTTGCGGCTTAAATGTCACTTCCTGTTCTAATTTTATTCTTAAATTCTACCCAGCAACACTATTCAATATCGTCTACCAGGCAGGATAGGAGGAACCCGAGTGACACCAAGTGATACAGGGCCAGCCGTGGAAAAGGGCCTGAAGGTCGAGGGTCCCTTCCACTACTGAGCTCCAGGAAGGAACTCGCTTGTAACCTGCGGTGATCTGTTTTTGAATTTTTTCCCCTTCAGTACTCAATGTTTTCTGTCGAGCTGTTTTTCATCAATCCTGCCATATATGTACATGCAAGTTGCTATGAAACCCACCCACTGTCTTCCTGATGTCAGACGTATTTTTATCATTTATTGAATGTACATTGGGTTCTCTTCATCAATTCTGCCATTTCGGTGAACTTCTTTGTCTTTTTATCTATTTTTGTCTTTCTTTCTTCATATGATTTAAAACTGAGCAATCCCAGTATTTTTGCAGTCCTTCCCTTTCCACTTCAGTGTCTGGGTTAACTTTGGGTCTCTTTCTATTGCCTGTGACTGTCTTCGTGTTTGCTGGTCATGTGATCCTGTCTCCTTGCATGGCTACCAATTTTTAAAAACATTTTACTTACTTTTAGAGAGAGGGGAAGGGAGGAAGAGAGAGAAACATCAGTGTGTGAGGTTGCCTCTCGCAGGCCCCCAAGGCGGGCCTGGCCTATGTGCCCTGACTATGACTCGAACTGGTGACTTTTCAGTTCACAGGTCAGCACTCAATCCAGTGAGCCACACCAGCCAGGGCGCATGTCTACTCTATTAATTTTTGATTAAATGACAGAAATTGTGTATGAAAGAGTCAATAAGGCTTTCCTAGGTAGTTTTAATTTCAGTTATTTTAGTTTTCCGTGTAATTTCATTTCTCTACTAACATTCTCTCATTCACTATATTAACCATATTTTTCTTTACTTCTTTAGAAATACTAACATTGCTGTTTTAACATCTTTGTCTATTAAATCCAGCATCTTGTTTGTATTACTTTTCTCTGGATGCTATCACAGATTACTACAAATTTAATGGCTTAAAATGCCACAAAGTGATTTTCTCTCGGTGGCCAGGGGTCTGAAAGCAGTTTCACTGCACTAACACCAAGGAGTTGGCAGACCTCCCTTGCATCTGGAGCCTGAGAGAAGTAATTTCCTTGTATTTTGCAGCTTCCATAAGCCGCCTTCCAGCTTCAAGGCCAGTGGTACAGCAGCTTCAAATCTCTGACCCGAGCTTCTAACTAAAGACCTCTCTCCGCCTGATTCTCCTGTCTTCCTTCTACCAAAGCTCTTGCACTTACTTCAGGCCTACCCCGATAATCCAGGACAATTCCCTCGTCTCAAAATCCACAATTTAATCACACCTGCAAAGTCCCTCACACTCTGTGATATGACCTACTCCCAGGTTCTGAGCATTGGGAAGAGGACATTTTTGGAAGGCTGGCCTGCGGCTGCCCACAGCTGTCTCTCAAAGAAAACCTGCTGAAGTAACAGTGATAGAGTCAAGTGGCCCTCGGGTCATTTTTTAATTGCTTTGCTTTTCTTGGCAATGGGACATGTTTTTTTCTGTTTTGTGTGCCTAATGATTTATTTTTATTTTTTGACTGAATAATGGATACTGTAAATAAAGTATTGTGGTGACTCCAGATTCCATTATTGTTCTTGAGGGTTGTCGACTTTTTCTCTAGTGGATACATCAATTTCTTGCTTACTGTGAAATTGTGGTGATGTGGTTTTACTATTTACTATTTCTTAAGAACAGATTTGTGAAGAGCCCAGGGCGTTTTCCAAGCTCTTTCAAGGTAAGGGGACTCAATCACCAAGTTCTGTTTCTTTTGTGATCTTATCCAGACTTGGTTTGTGGTTTTGTTTTGTTTTGTTTTGTTTTTTCAAAGCACATCTCAAAGAGACTTTACTCTAGGGCATGCTCTTTACTCCTCAGGCGGTTTTCTGCTGTATGGACAAGAAGAGTCAATGGGATGTTAATGAGGTTTTCCTCCCTGGATGTGCTGCAACACCAAAGCCCCCTAGTCCTGCTTGCCCACGGTATCTCTGGTGCTGTAACAGCCTCTTTCTGATTAATCTGCAAACCCAGGAGTCACAGGGAATCTCCCTGGGATTCTGCTCCTCCCGTCCCCACAATTCCTTCATCGCTGGTCCAAATTTTAGATGCGTCCGCAATGTCA